GCGGGCCGCGTGCTAAATTGACAGCTCTAACCCCAATAAACCCGACGTGATGATGATCTCTAGTCGTCGTTGTTGATTTCATCGTTTGCTGGGAATTGAGTTCCTCTACCTTCGCCGTGATTTCTTCCTTTTTCCAAGTTCCCCACGCGTGTGTATACATCGTCTTTCATTTTATTTCCAAGAAAAAAATAAGTACTATGTTTATGTATCATATGTGTGTGAAGTGAAATGATTTTAAAATGAAGAGTTTCACCACATACCTCATTAAGTGAGTGGTTTTTTTGCCAGGTTAGATGTTTTCATTACCAGGATTATATAGGCTTAGTGTTCTTGTCTACACTCTATCTTTTATTTCAAATTTGAATTATTCACATTTTATCTTCAATTTGTTTATCTTTATCTTCAAACGTGGTAAAAATTATTGTAGACAAATTTGATTTTATCTTGGATCACGTTTACGGTTTTAGTATCAATATTTATTCTTTTATTTCGAGAAGATAAAAGAATCTGTTTGGTTTCGAGAAGATAAAAGAATCTTAACTGGTATGCTTAATTTATGGTCATGTTTATCCTATACCTGATGGAAGGAATGTGTGAATAAGTTGGAATCTATTGTGTGTATGTAACATGCATTTGCTTTGGACTCCATTGTGTGGCTCACCTTTACCAGTGCCAGTACTAATACCTTTGAAGAGCTGTGTGTAGTTTTGAAAAAAAAAATGGTACAAAAAGGTCATGGACTTTTTAATCTCAAGTTGATGTCTCCCCTGCCTTCGAGAGTCAGATTCGGGGGACAATTAAAAATATCATTTTTGACAAATGTAGTGAAAAATGGGGTGCCATTTTTAATAAATTGTGACTATCTTGACTATTTATTTTTATTGTATATTCATTATACATAATTTAACAATTTTTTTTTTTCGAACGATAGAAGATCTCATAACCGGAAAAATAAGTACAAAGTTCGGAGAGCATACTAGCTCTTACAAAACACAAAAAACAAACTAAATACAGAGAACCACTCCACCGGTGGCCTAGTAACACAAATATTAGTTGCAACTAAAGGCAAATACGAGGATTTGAAACCTTTAGCGCACATCCACACGACTAACACATAACATAAAAAAAACAACACACAAGGGACCACTGAACCTAAGAACCTAGTCCCTTAACCAAAATAGAAACAACACAATGAAACCAAAAAAGAAAACACAGCCTAAGAAGCACCAACTTGCTGAAATTCGGACCACTCACGCAAAGCCGAAGAAACAACCACATTCTCCGGCATCCAAGTTCTTTGAAACACCCAAAGATTGCGTGACTTCCAAAGCCACCATAGTATATATGTTGACAATTGGATCCCTCGCTTCGGAAGTCAGAGATTTCTTCATATCAGCAATCCACCACCTCCAACTTCTAAAATCTGTAGCAAAGTGAGCAGGTGTATCCCATGAAGCAGGGGCTAATTTTTAGACCCTTCGAGCTCGAGAGCAGTCAAAGAAAATATGGCTCACAGTTTCCCTTATCTCCCGCAACAAGACACAGAATATCTACTTCCATACCTCTTCTAACAAGATTATAATTCACTGGCAGGTTATCAGAAAAACACTTCCACACAAAATGCTTAAGCTTGTTCTTCACTTTTAGATCCCAACATCTCATTCTAGCCTTTTTATCAGATTGACCGAGGTGCTACAGCCAGGATTGTCAAAGCTTAAGATATTCTTTAGAATTGCTGCTGAGTAAGCAGAGGCCACAGAGAAAGTACCTTTTGAATCCTCCTTCCATATCCATCTATCTTTGCCTATAGGATCAAGCACTTTGATTTTCAGAATAACTGTATTGGATTCTGGAGTGAATATGCTTTGGATCAATTTTCTATTCCAGCTTCTACCATTATCCAAGATTAGTTCATGCACCCAAGTCAACATCACATTCAAATCATTAGACAAAAGATATGGAACACCAGAACTCAGCTCAAGCACCCAAGGCTCATTGAATATTGTAGTGTTTAGACCATCCTTGATTTCCCTTCTAAATCCCTGCTTATAAGTAGATAGAACCATAGCCCAAGAATTCCAAAGCCAAGATGCAGAATTGGACTTTCTAGCCTCAAGCACACTAGTAGAAGGGAAATATTTTTTCCTTAAGCACTCTGGCCATAAGGGAGTTAGGCTTTACTAGGAGTCTTAACACCTGTTTCAATGTCAAGGCATCATTGAACACTCTAACATTTTTGAAACCTAAGCCACCAGCTTCTTTTGGTACAGTGATTTTATTCCAGGCCACCCAATGGACCCCTTTCCTTTGATCAGGCCCATTTGACCACCAAAATCGAGGACTGAGTTGAGATATCTCCTTACAAATGCTGACTGGCAAACAAAAGCAAGACATCACAAAAATTGGAAGGGCATTAATAACAGCTTTTAGGAGCACCTCATTTCCAGCAGATGATAAGAAAGTATTCTTCCAACTAACAAGTTTGCTCTTCACAGCAGATAGGACAAAATCAAATACTTCCCTCTTTGATCTACCAATCCCCATTGGTAAACCCAAATATCTAGAGGAAGTATAAACAGTAATACCTCTAAGTCTATGAGAGATATCCAACTTCAAACCAATAGAGGAGTTCTTACTAAAAAAACACAGATGACTTATGGAGATTCACACTTTGGCCTGTAAACAACTGATAAGCAGAGAGAACCCTCAGCAAAGGACTAGCATTAGAGGAATCAGCAGCACAAAAGATGAGGAATCGTCTGCAAAAAGCAGATGAGACAGAACCGTTCCCCCTCTTGTCAACCTCGAACCCTGCATATCTCCCTCACTAACAACATGAAGAATTAATCGAGATAGAACCTCAGAAAAAATATGAATTATTATACCTTTTTGTATTTACAAGTATTAACATATTTAAGTACCCCTATTATACGAAGACTAATTTTAAATATAATATTGGAAGCTCAACAATTAATGGTACACTTATTTCCGTACAATAATTAATTATTTCGTACAAAAATTCCAAAATCAAAAGTAGGTATTAAAATGATAGGGGCAGTACCATTATAAAGGTCCAATTTTCAACTTTGTATTAATTTAAGTCTGGAATTTTGTTGTTTCTCAATAGAAGATTCACATTTTAGTGTCTCTTAATTCAAAGCTCAATTTTCTTTTTTATTTTTTTTATTTTTTTTTATTTAACTTCTTTCCAAGTACTTTTACTTTTTGAAATAAATATGTGAACCAACTACTTTATTTTTTTATATAATTATGTGACAGAAATATATATATTTTTTTAATTTATATTTTGCATACTTATAATAAAAAATAAAAATATGTAGTAAAATTACCTTAATAAGAAAATGACTCTATATAAATTACATTTATGCGAAATTTTAATAAAGATTGTTTTCAAAAATTGATAAATGAATCTGAAATATATATAATTAAAATAATATTTTTATTGATACTTTAAATATGTAATATAATAAATAATATTTAAATACAATTTACAATTTTTTTATTGCTTCCCTTTTTAATTTTCTATTTTTATTACATATTTTTTTTTTATTTCAAATTTTACTACATATTTAGATTATTGATCAAAATAATGTTTAAAATTTTAAACTATTTTATTGATTTTTATTTTAAAAAAATTATGCATAAATATACTATATTGATTAATTTCCTCATTCAAGTTAATTATTAAATATAATAAATATTTTTAACATAAATATGTAAAACATAGATTATAAAATATATATATATATATATATATATACATATATATATATATTATGGTTCACATATTTATGATAAAAAGAAAAGTTAGTTGGACCTTACATTGAAAAGTTAAGGGGGCGATTAGTTATAGATTAAATCGGTTATGATCCAACTTAGTGAGTTAAAGTGAGTTACTTTAAATAAAGTGAATCTGAAATTAAATAATACAAGTATGAGTACCGTGCAGTGTACGGGTAAGAGATATTCATTAATATTTATAAATTAAAATATGAAACCAATATGTAATACAATTTAGCTATATTAATTTATTAAAAATGTTACATAAAGTTTAAATTTATGTCTATTTAAAATTAATACATAACTCGTGCGGTGCACATAACTGATAATAAATTACATCATATTTGTTTCAAAATAAGTGTCATTCCAAAATTTTGATTCAGTTATTTGATTTGACTATAATGTGATTACATATAATAATTATTTTGATAAAATTTTATCTTATATTTAATAACATATACGAATAATAAGTGTAAATATAAAATTTATATTTTTTTCATTACTTAAAATAAATTTATTTTTGTATAAACTATTGAAATAAAAAAAAAAAGTAAAATAGTTGAGCAATTTATTAAACTATAAATATTTAACTACTTCATTTACGTCCAAGTTAATATTGACTCGTAAGTTATGAATAATTATTTTATTGATTTTTAAATATTAATAAAAATCTTTTAATTTTTTTCAATATATTATATATAAAATTTAAACCATGCAACTAATAAAGGTAATAGCTGCAAGTTTGTCAATATATTATATTATAAATTTAGATAATTCAACTAATTAAGGTAATAGATGCAATATTTGATCAAAATATTTTTGTATGCCCTCATCATGGAATTCTTAACATCGGATAGACCTTTCTAGTAGAAGTTGGAAAAAGGCACCAGTTTGTTCTACAAATGAACAATATGAAAGATGGGCGTCTTCTCACCAATGTTTGCGTTACTCAAGCCGACATTCTCGCTTCCGCTTCGCCCACTGCCACTCGCGCGGAGGCTTCCCTCTAAGGCGGAACGCTCCCCTACCGATATATTTCTACATCCCACAGCTTTGGCGCAAGAGCGCTCGATCAGTCAGCAGATCTCTTTGAATAAGCAAGAAGTGGCAAAGAGGCATCTCCTCTTCAATTGGTCCTATAGTGAGGCCTTGCGGTTTGGTAGAGAGTGTTGTACTTGACTGAAAGCTTCTTTCTTCGCCTCCGGCGTACTTAGTTGTAAAACCATAGGTCGGAGTTTTCATACGAGATTCCTTCCCCAACTTTAGAAGCGAAGCAGCCACTGGTGGAGGCCAACTCTTTTTCAGGGATTTTTCTAACCCGCTCTTCTCTTACGAACGAAAGCTCCCTTGAGCAGAGCAAGGCAAGCAAAGCCAAGGTGCGATACCTGGGTGGCATTAATTTAGGCGGGATTTTTTCAAATTTTGGTTTAAAAAAGTACCCATTTTAGTAAATATAAATTTTTAGGCGGGAAATCATTTTTTTTAGTTACCATTTCAAGTAAATATCATTGTCTCTTTATATATTAATAGATTTAAAATATGCAAAATTGCCCTTAATATCATGACCTTTTTCGAAATTGTAATTTAATCACAATTTTTTTACTTTTGCAAATTATATCACAATTTTCAGTTTGTTGCAAAACGGTGCACTGATTTGCATATCCCATGCAAACTATATCACAATCTTCAGTTTGTTGTTCGACCACATCAGCTTTTCTGTGACCGTTTTCAGACTTTTTGTAACAAACAAAATTGTGATATAATTTGCAAAAGTGAAAAGATCATGATTAAATTGCAACTTCGACAAAGGTCGTGATATTAGACCTTAGGGGCAAATTTGCCTTTAAAATATAATGATTAAAGTTGATATAATATTAAAGTAAGAAAGCTTATAAGAAGTGATATGTAGTTAAAATTATGTGTGTAAATGAATAATAAATTAAAATTAATTTTAAGGTGTGAAAGTGATTCATTTGTATTATTTAATTATATTTATATAAAAAAAAGATCTAAGTTAAATTGGATTTTGAATCAGGTAACTGAAAATAAAATGACTCGGTTATAATCGTTTGAGTTGAATGACTCATAAGTTATATCCAATCACGCTCTAAATAAAAAAAAAAATATATATGAGTCTTAAATTTGAGAAAAACTCTAAAAATGTAAAATCTTTATGAAAAAATGATGGTAAAATTCACACATTAAATTGATACAATTCAAAAAAATTGAATTATGTAATAAAATCTATCAAGAATGATCGATGATCAACGAACTAGGCAACAAATAAACGTGCCCCTTCCACCGCCACCCTAATGTAATCTCACACCCACCGCAAACTCGCACTATCTCGTTTAATGGCGTCCACGCAATACACGCCCCAGAAAACAAAAATGGCGTTTTACGGCTTCGAATTTCAACCTCAGGCTTGCTCGTTTAATCATCGTCTCCGACTTGGTTGCACAAAAATTATCTCTTTGTTTTTGTTCTGTGGGTGAGCGATGCCGGGACTGAGAGCGCCGTCCGATTATTCCCTCGAACCTCCTCGCCACCCTCTTCTCCTCGTTAATTCCAAGGTTCCCTGCCTCTTTCTTTCTCAATTTTATTTCTTAAAACTTTTTTAATGAAAATGGCTGATTTTTTTGGTCCAGGAACCCTACAATGCGGAGCCTCATCGCTCGGCCTTGGCCGCTTCTTATGTCACACCCGTCGAGTTCTTCTACAAGAGGAACCATGGACCGATTCCCATCGTCGACCACATCGACAAGTCAGATTTTTCACATCTTCCATTGTTTTACAGATGATCATCAAGACCCATTGTAAATGCGTGATCCCATGTCCTGATGATACATTCTGTTTGGGTTGTGTAGATACTGCGTTTCAATCACCGGTTTGATCGACAATCCCAAGGAGCTGTACATGAAAGATATCATGTGAGTGAGTAAATTATCCCCTGTACTACGAGATTTTCTTGGTTGTTTGATTGAAATGAGGAAGCCCTCTTTTACTTTTGCCCTCTTTGTTGACAGGAAGCTTCCAAAATATGCCGTGACAGCAACTCTGCAGGTAATATTGTCATTGTCATTGTTAATTACCAGTTAACGCTTGAATAAGGTCTCTCTATCAGTCTCTTCTTTGAAAAATGGTCCTTTGTACATACTTTCTTTGGCTTGCAGTGTGCTGGCAATAGAAGGACTTCCATGAGCAAGAATAGGAAGGTGAAAGGAGTTGGATGGGATGTTGCAGCCATAGGAAATGGTTGATCCTTGTTGAGCTATATTGCCGCTGTCTCTGAATTGTGTTTCCTTGAGAAAAATTTTCAATGCGCGTTAAATATTGTCAAAATGCATACATTTCAAAAGAGATCAGGGAATTATGTTAGATCGATCTGATCCCCGTCATGTTATTGGACCATATCAAATATATTTATGAATTGAGTTTACGGTTTGATTTCATGTCTCGGTGTATACGTTTTTTCAGCTATTTGGGGTGGTGTCAAATTAGCAGATGTACTTGAACTGATTGGCATTCCCAAGTTGTCGCGTGTATCGCAACTTGGAGGAAAACATGTCGAATTCATAAGCATCGACAAGTGCAAGGTCCACTTTACTCCCTTTTGCTCCTTATCATATTATTTTATCCCAATTGATTTTGAGGTTGGTTCACTTAGCCTGAGCTATTACTCTTTTTGTTATAACAGGAAGAGAATGGGGGCCCATATAAAGCATCGATCCCGTTAAGTATGGCTACAAACCCCGAAGCCGATGTTTTACTAGCCTACGAGATGAATGGTGAGGTACTAATACAAACTGAACCTCTTTATCCATTTTCTTATCCTTATCATTTCCCGTTTCTAATCCTTGCGTTTGCATTTGCTATTCAAAGCCTCTTAACAGGGATCATGGATACCCGTTACGTGTTATAGTCCCTGGCGTTATTGGTGCTCGTTCTGTGAAATGGCTCGACTCCATTAACATTACTGCCGAAGAATGTCAGGCGAGACAAAAATTTATGTACTTTTGGATCATATTGAAAAGAAATTAACTCTGTTTCATTTGGGCTGATCTGCGACTCTGTGTTATCTGTAGGGGTTCTTTATGCAAAAGGATTACAAAATGTTTCCGCCTTCAGTCAACTGGGATAATATCGACTGGTCCACAAGACGACCGCAGATGGATTTTCCTGTTCAGGTTATTTTCCTTTGAAGGGCGCTTAAATTTTACTCGAACCCAAATCATTCTCATCTATTTGGATTCCCTCGTTGATTTTTGATTTGTATGAATTTTCCTTGCAGAGTGCGATATGTTCTCTGGACGACACTAACACTTTAAATCCTGGAAAAGTCAGTATGGTTTTTGTGTTCCCAATTGTGTTAAATATTCATTTCTTTACTGTCGAATGTTATGTTTACATCAATCAAATTGTGGATTCATTATGCATTGCACAAAGCTAATTTGTCGAAAATTGAACTCTATCTAACAAAACCTGAGTGAATTTTATCAGATAACAATCAAGGGCTACTCGGTATCAGGAGGTGGGCGGGGAATAGAAAGAGTAGATTTATCGATTGATGGAGGCAAAACTTGGGTAGAAGCTTTTAAACATCAGAAACCTGGGGATCTATACATTTCTGATGGTGAAAGCAGTGATAAATGGGCTTGGGTTTTATTTGAGGCTGAGGCCAACATACCCGAAAGGACTGAGATAATGGTTAAAGCCGTACGTCTATTAAAATTCTTAAATCGAGTAATGTACAACGAATATAACCATGCGTGAAAGTAACTTAGCCTTTTTGATCAACTGCTTGCAGGTGGATATAGCTGGAAATGTGCAGCCTGAAAATGTGGAAGTCATTTGGAACTTGAGAGGGATATTGAATAACTCATGGCATAGAGTGTTAAATAATTGAGTGTAAATGTTTAATAATGTGTGGGTCATACATTATATTTTATTAACCCACTTGATTACTAATTGGAACAAACTGCCAAATTGCAAATGCTTGAAGATGGACAACTTGTTTGGGAATCTGATCATTTGCCATCCACTTGCATTTTCTATACGTGAAATAGCTGGCTTTCAATTATTTACATGCAAATTGAGTGTTCATCTCTCCCTATAAATAGAGGTCTTCAGCAGAAGAGAAAGATGTACCAAACAGAGAAAGAAAGAGAGAAGAAAGGAAATAGAAAGGAAAGAAAAGAAATATTTATGTCCAAATATTGGATATAAAAAAAAAATATCAAAGAGAGAAACAAGTGATATTTTTATTTGTTTTAAGATATTTCTTTTATTTTTAAGTGCTCAATTCTCGACTCCGTTCCAGTTCGCCGGAACTCGTAAATCTGGTGTGCTACAGATTTAGAGACGTTTGCCGTTGTATCTTTGGGGAAGTTACGCCTGAACCGTTAGCAGCCACACGGGGCGTATTCTTCTTGCGGAAAGAGTTTTACTCGCCTCGGCTAAAATCTTTCCGTTTTCAGTTGTATTTTATTTTTCAGTTCAATTGTAATTTTTTCAATTTTTTTTTTTTAGATTATTTGTAAGAACTGAAAATACACATCAGTTCGTAGGATTCCCGTGTAATTTTGACACCAAATATCCAACAATCGCAAGA